TTTTTTTTTTAAAATTTTATAAAATAAGCTATATGCGTAGTCGGTAGTCGCTATACCGATTATTATTCGATATACGTTAAATTGCAATTTTAAATTAATATGCGTTATTTTGAAACTAACAGGAATTGCGAAATGACACATAACATAAATATAACCACGTAACCTACAACGAAAATTTGTTGAGTTTGGATGATCCTTGTTGATGGTTGAACGGAGTTTGAAGATATAATTTGTGGTAAGATTTGTTATCATGTTCTGTGGTACATAGCTTGCAAACATTAAAAAATGATCTCGCGTAACCCGCAACGACAAATGTTCTGTGTTACATAGGCTTGCAAACATTAAAAAATGTCGCGAAATCGGATGATGGTGAAATTTGAATCTATTTTATATACGATTTTTTTAAAAAATTTTTGGGTCTTTTGTCTGCTTTTTTTTATATTTGAATTAGGATTTAGGATTAGAGTTATTAATAATAGAGTAGAGGTAGGTTCTGGTAAGGCTTATATTTTCAAACTGAGACCCAACTTTCACATCATCCGATTCCTTGTCTGTGATATATACTGTCTACGAAATGTACTTATCTGTATGTAAAATAAGCTTGTCGGTGAAGTAAGTTCGATGTCTTTGATGTGTTTGTCGGTAAGTTTGTCGGAACCAATTTCAAATATTGGTACAGGATTTCAAAAAACTCACATTTTGACTCAAAATAAAGCGCATGTGCGTTTCAAAATAACGCGCAGGGGGGCGTTATTACGCGCAAATACGGTACAGTATAATGGCAGTGTTGGGAAATTGGACAAAAGCTGCGCCACATTTAGTTTGGCATATGTCCAATTGAAAACAATTGACATAGTAATCTTCCCAACAATGGTATAACGTTACATTATCTTGAACTTGCTTTTTTCATGCACATATATGCAAAGCTAGCAATCATAATAGCGGAATCCAACCTAATTTTGTTATGAATCCCGTTATATAGATATAATGAATATGCTATATAATGGAATTTTTTTGCTAGCTCAGATTTCCATTATATCGAAAGTTGACAGTATTCACTATTTCAATTTTTTCGTAGCTCTTTTTTTTAATAAATACATCATTAAACAATTTTATTTCGTAAAAGAAAAGAAACCATAAAAGCCAGATATTAAACATAAATAATATTAATGTAACTGATAGCCTAATCTTAAAATTACTTGGACAAATAATCTAAATTAGAAGCAATAGAAGAAGAACAAGTGGATAAACGATTAGGTAAAGAAAATGTGTTACCAAAAAAGTTAACGAGTACGTTATTATTAAGCATCATATCATTGGCATTAATATTTGAAAAGAATCCATTTTGTATTGGTTGAAATTCTTCGTTATAGTTATAGTTGGGGTAGAAAGGAATAGGTACGTTAAATTGAATTGATGAGTGTTCTTGTTCGATATTTGGAGTTTTACCAGAATTATCAAACATATTGGTATTAATTTTTGAAAAGAACCCATTTTGGATTGGTTGAAATTCTTTATTATAATTATTGTCAAGGTTGAAAGGAATAGGTATGTTAAATTGAGTTGATGAGTGTTCTTGTTCGATATTTGAGGCTTCACTGGAGTTATCTTCAAAAACGTTAGCTGATTTATTAGCAGCTTTCGATCTCCGTTTTTTACCCGTCTTAACATAAATACAGGTAAGTCTGTATGATTCACAATTTGTGCAAATAGCTTCTCCGGAACATTTTGCGTGTTTTCTTCGGCAATTAGTGCATGCGTTAGTCGCGTAGCGGCCTCGTTGTTTTCGACTTAAATAAGACATGGCCGTTCAAAGTATTTTATGAACAAATATCATATAACAAAATAATACGTATAGAAATAAACTTTATGGACGCGAATAAATAGATATTAATAACAAATGAAAATAGTCTCTATTTCAAAATTACGATTAAAATAACAAACTATGTAAAATAAATATGAAAGTATTATAAAAAGGGGAATGCGAAACGGTATATGTATTTATATTTATAAATAAGAATTCCCTTTTTTTTTGACTGGCTGGAACTTAAGAAGGGGATTTTACGGTTTATTTATAAAACTTTATATCCCACCGATATGCAACTAATTTTCTGAACGTGTGGTATTGACAACAGATCTAGATACATTATCTATTCGCATTAGTCATGATAGACAACAGATCTATATTACCTTATCATAATTACAAAAATGCATAAGTAATAACAGACAATAGATCTACATTAATTTATTGACACTACGTACGTATTTAATTTTGGGCGGGTGAATATTTCTATGAGTGGATGTATGACGCTTGATACTTACAGTATACCGTATGCCTTGGATTCTATGGATTGTGTTACGGGTAGTGCATCGATCGACAAAGAAAATTTCTTTGCAATTCCAAGAAAGGAAAGTCTCATCCGTCATTTTTTTTAATACGTATTATATGTGGGGTGCCCTAATCACTAACGGAGAACTACAAAATTGATTAATAACACAGATACTCCGATATGTGAATAATTAGTAGAACCAATCAGAAGTGGTGGGGGAAATTAGTAAATTCTTTTATGAGCAATAAATAGATTAGCCGCACAAAAAATGCGGCAGATCGACCAAAATTCAGGGTCGGAATATGTCGAAATTAATAAATTTCACCCAAAATCATCCAAAATTTTACTAATAAAATGGTAGCCACATACTAAGTAAAGCTGCACAGATGATAATTTTGCTGTAGTATAATAGGCCGGTGTTATTGCAGCCTAGCTCCGAACCTATTCCGACCCTAAATTTTGGTCGACCTGCTGATTTTGGTTTCTCCACTAACCTATTCCTACTCACCCATACCATATGGGTAATTATTTTTGAACCCGGACCAATTTTATATTTATGGCGTAGTAACATTTTGGTCTGGATTCTAAAATAATCACCCATAGTGCAGTACTGATCTTCAAAACACCTGTATAGTACAGCCCGAATTTTAGAATCGGTACCATATTGATCCGGTGTCATATATATTAGCATTAAGGTTAGGAACTATAGCTGGTCAGTAAAGCATGGTTTTTAATTCGGGCTGTAACATACTGATATGTTCACCCATACTATATTGATCTTAAAAAAAATTGAGGTGAGATTAAAGTGTTCCGAAAGATGTTATCGCATACGAAACTGCGCATTTCATGAGCATGACGCAGTACAATCAGTCAACCCCCTCTATAGTCACCTCCTCTATAGTCACAAAATTAACGTAATTACAAATTTATTTTTATCAATTATTTATAACTTTATAGAAAATACCTCTATATTAGTCACACTTCTTTATATGTAATCACAGTTTTTTGTATCCCAAAGGTGTGACTATAGAGGGGTTTGACAATTATGAAAAATATATACATAATTTACTTTTGTTGCATACATAAATGATGGGTTACCGCAGATAAAATCACCGTCCCTGGCATGACATAACGATAACGGTAACCCAACTTATCAAATCACCTGATGTAACGACTATACATGGGTGTCTAAATTATTCCTCTTAATAAAAAATTATTTCGATATTTAGTCTGTCGAAATTAATTCTATTAGTGGCGAAATTAATTTTCATAGTTTCCGAAATTCTTTGTGAAATTACTTGAATTCCTTATGCCAAAATACATTAGATAGTATAGCTACTTTGTGGAATTCATATAAAAAAACTAGCAATATCGAAATCTTTGTCGAAATTACCTTTTTTCAAAAATAATTTAGACACCCATGTATAGTAACGACCAATAAAAAACGTTAAAGTGCAAAGCTTCTGAATTAAATTACAACATATAGGTTGTTATTACTAGACACATCAGTATTAGTATCATTAATCAAAGTTTACTATAGGTTACAACCTAATTACACCCCAATCATTGACCATTTGATTAGTAAATTAATCGGTTTAAGTTCTAAAACAAAACTTTGCTAAATTCTCTTGATGAAATTGAAGCCAATATTAGGTAAAAATGCTTCTTAGACACTTTCATAATATATATAGGCCTATGAATCATTAATTTATTGTGATAAACCAAAAAAACTATAACCAGAATTAAGGATTCAAAGAAATTTCCTGCATTATATTTAAAGCAGGCCAATTAGAAGAGTTGATTAATCGATTCTTCAGAATCAATTTTGAGATCGATTTCCATCCTTATATTGGATAAATCTACACCGCTTCGTTTGCAAATTATTGTAACTTTTTTCAAATTATTAAGAAGCATAAAAAAAATTTTATATACAGTCAAACCCCTCTATAGTCATACCTTTGGGATACAAAAAACTGTGATTATAAAGAAGTGTGACTAATATAGAGGTATTTTCTATAAAGTTATAAATAATTGGGTAAAAATAAATTTGTAATTACGTTAATTTTGAGACTATAGAGAAGGTGACTATAGAGAGGTTGACTGTAGTTTAATAGATAATAATAACAACAAAAATATTTTCTATTTGATTTTTGTAGCTCTTACTTTTTTTTTTGACAAATACATAATTAATAAGATTTATTTCTTAAAAGGGAAAACAAATCGTAAAAGCAAGATAAAATTAAACATAGACAATATTTAAATGACTGATGGCTTAACCCTAGAGTCATCTAAATCAATAATCTAAATTAGAAGCCAAAGAAGATAATGAAAATGTGTTCCTAACAAAATTAATGGGTGTGTCATTATTTAGTATAGAATAATTAGTGTTAATGTATGGAAAGAACCCATTTTGAATTGGCAGAAATTCTTCACTATAATTATAGTTGAGGCAGATAGGAATGGGTATGCCAAATTGAGATAAAATCAATGTGTGTTCCTGTTCGATATTCGAGGCTTTACCGGAGTTGCTTTCAAAAATGTTAACTGATATATTAGCCGCTTTCGGTCCTCGTTTTTTAATCGATTTAACATAAATGCACTTGAGGTTATGTGATGCACAATTTGTGCAAATAGCATCTTCAGAACACTTTGCATGCTTTTTTCGGCAATTAGTACATGCATTAGTTGCGTAAGGGCCTCGTTGTTGTCGATTTGAATAAGACATGGCAATCCAAAATATTTTGTAAATAATAATATAAAATAATGTAGAAATAAATTTTATAAACACGAACAAATAAATATTAATAACAGCTGAAAATAGTTCTTATCAAGTTTCTATCTTAAAATTACGATTAAAAATAATTATATTTGATAAAAAGGAAATAACAATGCTTTGAAATATGATAAAAGACAAGAATGCCTTCATATTTATAAAAACAAGTTCTTTTATAATGCAACCAGAAGATATGTAATACAAAACCTTTAATGCCTGCGAGTCGGATTGAATTATGCATAAGATTACCGTTAACACCAACCTGAAAATTTAAATCGCTTATCTTTTTATCATTATCTACAGTATTACAATATTTTGACATGTCTGTTACGAATGTTTGTATAACTTCCATGTTTGGAGTTTCTTAAAGTGGGGTAAACACGTGATAAAGCAGTTATTTCATTGGCGTTAGGGTTAGTGTCACTTGGGTTAAAGTTAGTATTTATATATGTAAAAAAAATTACCTTCGTAATACAATGCATTTTAATGGCTTATCTTTTATCGTATTCAATCACACGTAATATTTTGACATTGTTTGTTACGAATGATTGTACGCTTTCCATATTTGGAGTTTCTTTTAGTGGGGTACGGTTATTTCATCGTTAGAGTTAGTGTCACTTTGTATTAGATAGTTCATCTATGTAACAATTAACTAGCTAATACAAAGCATTTAATGCTTGCAAATCGGATTGAAATATGCAAAAAATTATCGCTACTAGGTTGATGTAAGACAAGCTTATCAAGAAACTTTAAATTGCTTATCTTTTGTCATTATCTATTACTAGCATTTTGACACTTCTGATACGAATGTTTGTACACTTTCCATATGAGGTTCCTTAAAGTGGGTAAATCATGTGGTGATAAGGTTATTTATTACCGTTAGGATTAGTGTCACTTTGGGTTAGAGCTAGATAGGTTTATATGTAAAAATTACCTTCCCAACATTTTTTATTAATGTTCCAAAGTGTGTTCAAACTCCTG